AGGTTGCCTCATGGTTCATTCTACCATCCCGGTTCACTGAAAGGTCAGACTGTGGCTCAGGAAGGTGAGATTCCTCAGTGATAACGTTTGGAGTTATATCCTCTCCAAGAGATCTTCTCTCAAAGTCATCTCCTTCCTGCTGTTCTTGCCCCAGCAAGGGATGGAGATTCTGGAGACAGACTGCCTGAGGTCCAATCCTGGACCTACACGCCATGTGGTTTTATATGAGTTAGTTAACCTTTCTCTAAGTCTTGGTTTCCTCATCCGTAAAAGGGGACAATTGATGGATATGCATCATGGTTCCTCAATCTCACCACTACTGACATTTGGGCCAGATAATCCTTTGTGGTGGAGTTGTCCTGTGCACTGTAAGATGTTTAGAAGCATCCCTGGACTCTATCCATTAGATGCCAGTAGTACTGCCTTCCCCCTCAGTTATGACAAACAAATATCTCCAGACATTACAAGTGTCCCTCAGGGGGCAAAATTGCCCTTGTTAAAAACCACTGATCTAGGTAACTTAGTTCTGTGCACGGTGCTTAGTAAATGATAATCATGACAATTTTCTCTTTTCAGATTGCAACACTATAAGGGTTAAGCAATGTTTTTCCTGCATATTTTTTTTAAAGATGCTACTTGCATTTTTTGTGACAAAATTATTTTTTACAACTTAGGCAAAATGTTGAATCTCATGCTATGTGGATTCTAGTCACTTTAAAAAAGAAGGTATGTGATGCCCTGGCCACAAGGCTCAATGGTTGAGTGTTGACCTATTAAACAGGAGGTCGTGGTTCAACTCCTGGTAGGAGCATATGCCCAGATTGCAAGCTCAATGCCCATTAGGGGATGTGCAGGAGGCAGCCAATCAATGATTCTCTTTCATCATTGATGTTTCTATCTCTCTCTCCCTCTCCCTTCCTCTCTGAAATAAAGAAAAATATAATATGTATTTTTTTTAAAAAGATATGTGAGCAACAGCAGCAAAAGAAAAAATAGATAAATTATACTATAATATATCAAAGTTTCCACCTTTTGTGCTTCCAGGGATGCCATTAATAACGTGGAAAGACAACTCACAGAAAGGGAGAACAATTTGCATATCATATATCTGATAAGGAACAGGTATATCTAGAATATATGATGAAACCTGACAACTCAATAATACAAAGACAATCCAATTAGAAAATGGGAAGAGGAATCAAATGGCTAGAAGAAAAGCAAGTGACCAATAATCACATATAAAGTTGTGGGCTATCAAAGATGAAGTGGTGTGTGACTTCTGACGCTGTGCCAGAAGGCAGCAAAACGGACAAATTGTGCTCTTTCCTCTGCTAAAACCTGAGTGTGCAGAGCTGCCCTTTTCATATCCCACTGCAGCAGAAGCGAAATGCAGGAATCAATTCAAGGGTGCACTTAATATGTTGACATTGGTCCTAAACTTGGACAGGTAATGTATTAAAATATACAAAAACATTGCTCTTATTTAAACACTAGTGACCTAGCCCAAACAGGTTTGGCTCAGTGGATAGAGCATCGGCCTGCGGACTGAAGGGTCCCAGGTTCAATTCCGGTCAAGGGCATATATCTTGGTTGTTGGCACATCCCCAGTAGTGGGTGTGCAGGAGGTGGCTGATCAATGTTTCTCTCTCATTGGTGTTTCTAACTCTCTATCCCTCTCTCTTCCTCTTTTGTAAAAAATCAATAAAATATATTTTAAAAAAATAAAATAAACACAGTGGCCTGATGCACGAAATTCATGCACTCAGTGGGGAAAGGGGGCAGCCTGTCCTGTGCCCTGTCACAGTGCGGGAGCCCTGTGATCCATCATCCCAAAGAATTAGGTCCACCCATCCATCAAGGTCTCCTCGATGGATTGCCCCCAAAGAGGTAGGCTGGAGCAGAGGGAGGCCTGTTGTGGACCTCCATGCGCCTGTGGACTCCTGGGCCTCTCCGCCATGGCCCCACTCCCATCCACGATGCTGCAAGTCCCCGCCTACCCATGCCTGCTGCACAGGCAGCCTGCTGATTGGTTGTTACTGTGATGGCATCCTGACCAATTTGCATATTACCCTATTATTAGTATAGGTGCTTGTTGACTTGTATGCTATTGAATGTTAAATAAAACGTTTTATTTTGTATTGTTATTTGTATTGCTTTTTTGTGCTTACAATATTGTTGATTTCTCTCATGTTTTTTGACTCATGCCCTTGAGTCTAACTTTGACCTTTTCTGGCAGTAATTAAACTTTGAGACCATTTTACTGCCTACTATGATGAATGCAGGCTTTATAACAGAGAAGCTGTTGGTAGTATATATTCTCTTGACATTCTGTTTGGTAGTCAAAAAGATGAGGGAAGATGGGCTGCCATTTTCATTTTAATTCAATTATGTCAACAAATAATCTTGGGGTGTGGAAAGCCTTTCTAAGCCTGATGCAAAACTCAGAAGCTATAAAATAAAACCCCTGTTTATTGTGAAAAAATTTGTAAGGCAAGAAAAGTGAAAAAAACATTTAAAAACATGACACTGGAAAGCTGGACTAATCAAAGTACGGCCATACGGAGACCCTTTTTTCATTTATTTGTTCAGCAAAGAGCAAAGTATTTTGTAATATTCACTACTGACAAGTCTGGAAAAATAGCACACTCATAGTTATTGGAGGCAATGACCATTATTACTCTGCCTTTCTGAAGGGTATTTTCCTTTTTAAAATTTTATTTTTAATCCTCACCCGAGGATATTTTCCCACTGATTTTTAGAGAGAGTGAAAGAGAGAAGGAAAGACAGAGAGGAATGTTGATATGAGAAAAACACGTTGATTGGTTGTCTCCTGCTCTAAGAACTTACTTTTTGGTGAGAGGAGTACACTAAGTAAACAAACGTATCAATCGCAGGTTGTTCAAAGGGATACAAGGTATGAAACACACCCACCGGGCCTTGGAGAGAGGGGGAGGGCGCTCCTTTAAAGGGTCTGAAAGGGTCTCTGTGCTCACGGGCTCCGAGTAGAGCCCCGGGGATAACGATCAGGGAGGAGGGGAGGCCACGGGGAAGGGGACGGGGTTAGAAAAGGTTCCGGAGAGAGGGAACTCCTAGGGCAAAGGCCCTGAGGCAGAGAAGAGCTTAGTCCCCGGGAGAACGAAAGGCGGTTCGTGTGCTTGAACCGCGCCAGCGGAGCAGCGGCCGGCGTGGGATGAAACCAGAGGCGGCGGGACCAAACCCTGCGGGGACGCGATGGTCTCCGGGAGGAGGTCAGCTTTTACTCCAGGGGTGGTGGCTTTAAAGCCACATTTGTAGGAATGCAACCGGGCAGCCAGTGGGAGACGGTGCTCCGCGCCGACCTCTCCACGGCCCAGGGGCTCCCGGCGGCCGCCTGTGTGAGCTAGAGGGCCGGTTTGGCTCGGAGCGGCCCACGCCCATTGACGTGGCTGCGGGTCCCCAGACCCCGAGCCCCAGAGGCAGCCCTGACCGGACCCGCGGCGCGCAGCCCCGCCCCGAGCGCGGAGGTGACAGGACCACGGCGCACCGCCAGTTAACCGGCTCCGGCGCGGAGCTTTCCCCCTGGAAGCGGGGCCTCCCACTCGGCGCGGCCACGCGGGTTCCGGTGGGAGGAGGCGGGGGCTGCCGCGTGACGCAAGCGGCCGCACGTGGCCCCGGAGTGTGCTCTCGGGACAGGTGCGGGGCTGTCTCACCCGCAAAAGTTTAGACGTGCCCGCGCCTCGCACCCTCTCCTGTTCCGGCTCATTCTCGGTTTCCCGGGCCGGCTAGTCCAAAGACATGTCCCCGGAGGACGCGGATTGCTTGCGGTGGGTGGGGGGGGGGCGTGGGGGGGGTGGAAAGGAAGATGGGGGGGGGGGGCAGAGTTCCCCACGCACCCCTATAAGTTCTGTGGGTGCGGGCCGCCCTGCAGGACACAGGAAGGGCCCGCTGGCCTGCAACCTGAAAACTTTCCTTTGGGCTCTGAGGTTCATCCTGCCCATCTAAGAAATGGGACAGTGAAATAAACAGATGGGAAGCAGTCTGCACACTTGGACAGAAGTTGGGCGTTTTATTCAATTCCTCCATTCCCCTCCTCCTTTTGGAAGCCCAAGGGAGGACTAACCAGGCTGTCACCCACCACACCCTTCCAGCCCCGCGGCGCAGTGGCCGGATCCAATTTTGCGTCTCCCAGGGCCTGGAAACGCCGGAAAAACCCCCGCCCCGGGTGCGGTCGCAGGGCCGGTCACGTGACGCCCGCTGGAGGCCCAGGGGTTGGGCATCAGGGCAAATGCGCATGCGCACTTTTTTTTTTTTGGCCTGGACGCAACCACTGTCAGCTCTCCCCCCTCTTTCTACGACTTCACCCTTCCCGACGTTCTCTCCCTTGTCCCCGCCCATTGGTTATGTCAGGCAGACAGGTAGAGAGACCAATCACGGCGCTGTATTCAGACACCGGCCTGCGGAACAGGTTGTATCGGACCAATGGGGACCCTCAAAGCGGACGCGCCCCAATTGGGCAGGGGAGGGCCGAGTGGGCGGTGCTTCTCAGTCAGCATGTGGGCGGGGGAGGGCGGGGATCAGCAGCCGCAGAGGCGTCGACGGCGGTGGCGACGACGTTCCTTAGTTTTTGGTGCGGGCTCCTTGGCGTTGGCACGGCCGCTGGGAGGGCTCGGCTGTCAGCGGCGGCGGCCCTACGGCAGGGGGCCGGGACGCCATGGGGGGACGGTAGACGGGCTCCGACCCTAGAGGCGAGAGGCGGCGGCGGCGGTCCTCCGGCTCTCGGCTACCTTCGGCGGGGCCCAGGGGTGGGCAGGCCCGGGGCGGGGGTCGTCCCGGGCTGCGCGGGGCCGCGGGGCGGGGCTCTCGGGTCGTCGGGGAGCAGGAGGCCTGGGCCGCCGCGAGGAGTCGTCGCCGCCGGCCGCTGGGCCTCGCCGCCGGGCCGCTTGACGACGACGCTTCCGCGGGAGCCTAGCCTGAGGAGGACGCGGCGGCGGCGGCGGCGAGGCCGCGGGAGGCCGCGGAGGATGGAGGAGCGGAAGGAGGAGGGCGAGGCGGAGATTCAGGAGCACGGGCCCGAGCATTGGTTCTCCAAGTGGGAGCGGCAGTGCCTGGCCGAGGCCGAGCAAGACGAGCAGCTACCCCCGGAGCTGCAGGACGAGGCGGCGGCCGGGGCGCAGCCCGAGCACAAGCAGCAGAAGCTGTGGCACCTCTTCCAGAACTCGGCCACTGCCGTGGCCCAGCTCTACAAAGGTGAGGGCCGCTGCCGCCATCTTGCCGCCGCCTCGGCCCGACCCCCCGGCCGAGGGCCCCAGGCGGCCTCCCGGCCAGGCCGGCCCGGCCGCCGCCCCGCTGCCCCCTCCTCACAAGATGGCGGCGCGGAGGCCGGGCCGCGGGGGCGCCCAGGGAAGGCCGGGACCGGCGCGGGCGAGGCCTGTCTTGGGGGCCGGCCCCGAGGAGCCCGCCCGCCTGCTCCTCAGACCTGGCTGTCGGGGGGCCCCGGGCCGGGGAGGGCAGGGGAGGAGCCCCCAGTCACAAAATGGCGAAGGGAGGCGACTGGGCCGGCCCTATTGTGCCCGAAGCCGGCCTCGGGGCGGGGACAGGGCACCTCCCTGCGCCCGTGGTTGGGCCTCGGGCTGCGCCCCGGACCCCGAGGCTCCCCTCCCACCCCCTCCGCGACCCCTATTTCTGCCTTCCTCCCAGTCACTGTGGGCTCCCGAAACCCTGGAACAAAATGGCGAAACCTAATATGGCCGTTCCCGAATGATTGACGCCCAAATAACATTTCTTTCTCCGTCTTCTTCCCCCCCATCCCCTCTCTCTCCCCACTTTTTCAGACCGAGTGTGTCAGCAACAAGGACTTTCTCTCTGGGTCCCCTTCCAAAACGCAGCCACCGCCGTCACCAACCTCTACAAAGGTAAAGATAACCTTGCTGCATTGCCGATTAGGGGAAGGGCGCCCTGCGTCAGGGTGAAAGGCCTGCGTTCCGAGTGTGCTGGCCACCTGCACTTGGGCCTGGACCGCCCGAGTGTTTTCTCCTGTGTCCAAAGATTTAACCTGAGTGTCTTGCAACTTGGAAATGGTGGTATTCTAGCTAGATCAGTGATCTTCTGCTGGGGGCTATTTTGACAACCCCCCTCACCCCCCACGTACATTTGGTTACGTCTGGGGGCATTTTTGAATGTCATCACTGAGGGGGGCTGCTGACTATCCCATTCGCTAGAGGCCATCCCATTACCCTCACCCCACCCCATCTCCATGCCCCAAATGTCAAATAGTGCGGAGGTCAAGAAATCCTGAGCTGACACTGGGTGAGAGGAGCTTCTCTTTGGAAAAGGCACCCCAGGAAAGAAAGTTTATGGTTTTGCACCACAGCGAGGTGGGGGCGGGAGGGGGGCGTTGGGGTGGGAGTGGCAAATTGTAAGCACCTTGTGGGAAAGATTCTTGTGATGGACAACTCAGAGCATGTTCTTTTGTAGTGTTTATAAGTGCGTTGTAAACTAATTGAAATCCTGTGCCCATCTTAACACGATGCTCTTCCCTAGCAACTTCAAGTATTTATCTTGAAAAGTATCTTTTATATCTGTTTGTACATTATTGACAGGAAATCTGTGATCTGAGTGTGAGTTGTGTTTTATGGTAGTGCCTTTCTGGAGTTAATTTTCCTGCTCTGTGATGACAGGAAGATAGGTTAAAGGAACCTCTCTTGCCCATTGTGCTCTCTTAGTGATAATGGGTTGAGATTTTGTGCCTTATTGATTTTGAAGATTTGGAAATTTGGGTTTAATTTTGGGGGGCGGGCAAGGTTTCTATGGAAAAAGGATTTGAATTTGTTAATCTTAACAAAGATGTACTTAAATGCTTTCAAACTTCTAGAAGCTGCTGTTTACAGTAATGTAACTCGGTGCATTTCAAAATTATCAAAGTAGGCTGTGGAGTGACTTATCAGATCTTATTTTTGTGTAAGAATGTGCAAATGGTGGTAGCATTCTATAAGAAAAATACTATTGTGAGATTTTGTGGGTAGAATTTGCATTTTTTTTGGAATGTGAACTGAAACTGGTGAGTAAAATGTTAATTTTAAGGAATGAGGAACTGATAATCCAGGCTTGTCAAGAAAAGGAAACAAAATGTGCCCCAGTGATCAACTTTGATTTTTATTGTTAATCCTCATCTGAAGATATTTTTCCATTGATTTTTCTAGAGAGAGTGGAAGGGAGGGAAGGAGAGAGGGAGGGAGAGAAACAGATATGAGAGAGACGTCAATTGGTTGCTTCCTCTGCACTTAACCTACAGCTCAGATATGAACCTGCCTGATGCTCAGAACTACACCAGCCAGTGTGAGTTCCTTCAACAATTTTGACTCCTGAGTAGTTTGCTAACATCCATCAGTGCTTGAGGGTCTGGAAGATTCTCTGGGATGACTCTTGGTTTCATCCAGACAGGGAAATTTGAAATAAGACATAAAACACATTTTTAAAAAAATACTCAATTTCTTGGGGTATATTTACATGAAATAAAATTACTCTTTAAAGATGTAAAAAGCTTGACATCTTGAGCTGGACACACACTGTTAAAGAAATTCTATCTTCACCCCAGCCCCTAAGCAACCACTGATCTGATTGTTGAATATATGGTTGTCCCTGTTTCCATAATTTCATAAATAGAACCTTACAGTATGCAGCCTTTTGTGGCTGGCTTCTTTCGCTGAGATTGAGTTCACATTGCATGTGTTAATAAATAGCTCAGTGCCTTTTTTTCTTTTTTTGTTGAGTAGCTTTCTGTTGTATGATGGTACAATGGGGTATCCATTTGCTTGTTGTAGTTAGCTTTTTACTTAAAGGGGAAGGCAACACATTTTTAGTGTCTTGTATGTGCCAGGACATACAAAAATAGGAATGCGTTCTAGTTTTCTTTTCTTAGTTTTTGGTGCTGTTGTCTACAGGATTCTATTTCTTTAGGACTAAAACTGGCAGTTTTCTTTAGTGCAAATTCTTCATATAAGTAGATGGGCTTAGAAGCCAAACTTTGAAATCTCCAGTTTGATTATTTAATTTGCAAAAAGCTTATCAGTTTTACTTGTTCAGAAACTTTTTTAAAAAAAATATATTTTATTGATTTTTTACAGAGAGGAAGAGAGAGAGAGAGCTAGAAACGTCAATGAGAGAGAAACATCGGCCAGCTGCCTCTTGCACACCCCCTACCAGGGATTGCCCGCAACCAAGGTACATGCCCTTGACCGGAATCAAACCCGGGACCCTTCAGTCTGCAGACCCATGCTCTACCATTGAGCCAAACCAGTTTCGGCACTTGTTCAGAAACTTAATGTAATTCATTTATTTTAAAAAGTAAACATCTCCTGAAGTTCTTGCATTATTGCAGATGCTGAATTGTGAGATTGAATTACTCTTACTTTGTATTTTATTTTTGTTAAATGCATTCCTTTTTACCTGATAGAAAAGCTAAATTGTGGTTTGTGGAATTTGGTAGTGCAGCAACATTTTTTATCTGATTTAAGGAGAGTATGGATAGTGCTCTGCAGTTACATTGTTACTCCTTTTCAGGATGTGGAGTAGAGGATACAATTCAACTAGAGGAATAATTGAGTACCCTAAATAGATATAATAAAATTGGCAAATTAGTGTCACAAGTGTATGCAGCATTAAGTAGTGGTAAATTTTAATCAGAATGTTCACAGTTCTGATTATTTAAATGTAATTTACAGATGGGGGATTTGAGGAGATCTCTTTGGGTGATGCTGTATTTTTTATGATTAAGCACTTCGCAAGCTAAAAAATGGCTCATTTTGCAGCCTGGGGATAGCTTGGTACATTCACCAACTTCTTCATAACCTCTAAAAATGAATACATTGGAAGGTCAGAAATGAAGTTTAATTTTGAAAAATTGAACATTATGTTGGTTGTGCAGAAAACGTAGCTGGAAGGATTGGAGGAGAGTGAGTTGGGATGCCCCCTCAGTGTGGACAGAATTCAACAAAATGGAGTGCGTGGTTCCTTCTCCACAAAGTAGGGCCAGACTTTGCTATCCTTTTTTTTTGTAAAGGGAAAGGAAACTCCTGATGCTTATTCTTGTTTTTATGTTGATCTGATAACTCTAAAGAGGGGGAATGTTTGTTCAATATTCAGTCAGGTTGTGTCTCCTTTGCCTAGTCTAGTGCATTTTTTGATGTCTGCAACTAAAGGGAGTGAAAAGTTGCTGAGATCATTTTAATATGATTCAGGTTGATGCTTACTGGAAAATACTTGGCCAAGCCTAGGTGTTTGCTTCTTAAATCACCACCCACCTTCCACATTTTGTTGGGTGATTGATTTCAAGTCTTGTCTTTTGACTCTTCATTAGGAAAGTACATATTCTCCTTACCTAATTCCAAATTCCTGCTGCATGGGGCTACTTGTTCAGGTGAGAGGTTGGACTGGTTGTCTTCTAGGACAAGGCCATCCTAGGAGCCTCATGTTCAGTCTAAGGTATCAGCTGGTACTCAGCTCTTCAGTAGCCCCTGTAAGCTAGTGCTTGATCTTAACCTGTAGAACCACTTCTTTATTTCTCTTAGTTTGTGAATGTTTTTCTTTTTGTATGCTATGCCTTGCTGCTTTGCCTTTTCACATTTTAAAACTGCTTCTGAAACTTCAGTTGCATGCTGAGTCCTATCACTTATTGAGAGCTTTCTCTTGTTATTATTTAAGATGTTTCTGGTCTCCTTGTTAATAGCATTTTCCCTAGGCCAGCAACCTTATGGAGTCTACTGCTGGATTATCTGAGTTCAGAATTTAGACGACTTATAGCTGTAAACTCCTGGAGACAAATAGCGAAAAAAGATATTTCCCCATTGTGTTCCTTCATTTTCTTAACTGTAAGTGGTCGGGATTAGTATTCATAGCTTAGTACAAAGCTCTTAGTTTAGTGCTAGCATTTACTGAGTATTCAAGTGTTAGGGCTGCCTATTGGTGATCAGGCTGTATTTTTCAGACGTTTCTGGCTGTGGGCAATATTGAAGAGGAAGGGAAGATATTCTAGTTTATTTTTTGTCTATCCTTTTTCCCCCCTCTTGTATTGGAATAAACTTCATGGTGTGTACTTTACTTAATTTTCCCCTAAAATGGCTAAGTATAATGAAATTTTCAGGTGAAAATAGTATGATGCTTTTAAATCTTTATTTTTGAGATATCTTGGTGCTAAATTATATTTATAATAAGCTGTCTCACTTCAGTGGGCCATTTTGGACATATGTATGTACACACACACACACACACATATATATATATATATAAACTGGAAATGAACTGAATATACTGAAAATTTGTGTATTGATGTATAAAGTAAATGGGCAGACAAGAGCATATACTACCTAAAGACAGGTACTGGAATTCAGCTCTTTTGGAGTTTGTGACATCCTTGCTGTAAAAACTATTGAGCTTTAAGACTTTGTACAAAATGCCATATTATGAATCACAATTAGAAACACTGTCTTAATTTGTATTAAATTTATAAGGAGTAGTAGTAGCTTCAGTTATTCCTAATATTGTTATTAGTTTCTGTCTGTAATTTTTTTAAAAAAATGTATTTTTATTTCAGAGAGAAAAGGAGAGGGAGAGAGAGAGAATCATTGATCTGCTGCCTCCTACTGGGGATTGAGCCCACAACCCAGTCTCCAGGCTGATGCTCTGTCCACTGAGCCAAACTGGCTAGGGCTTTTTGTAAGCCTTTAAAGAAGACAATAATTTTACTTAATGTGTAAAAGGGTGTTTTGGCTGCAGATAACCAGAAAAATACAAGTTAGGGTGACTTCAGTGGTATGAACATGGGTTGATTCTTCTCACTTGGAGGGTGAGATTGATTAATTCAGTGGCTCAGTCTCCCTGGCTCTGCATTCTACGCTCTAGTGTATGTATGAGCTTT